CTAATGAGTAAATTTTGCCACAGAAACACCACCTTTGGATTAGCAGCATAATTCCATACAAGCTATGCCACCAGGGAATAGAGGCATGCAGTTATGTGTTACTAGGGCTTACAAGACTTTGTAATATCACAGGTTTTTTGACTTTATCTTTTTAGGTGTATTATAAATGCTTTTGAGGACATAATTTGATAATTGGGGCTATTGATTTATGTCCTCTTTACTCATATAGGGAGCTCTAGTGGTAGTGTCTATGGGGTGTTGTGCTAGTAACCCAAAGGTGATTTATTAACCCAAAAAGATGAATGCAGTGGCAAAATCTTCTGTCAGAGACCTCTCCAAAGTACTGAAGAGCAACGGCAACAGTATGGAGACTAAGGTGCACCTTATCCAGGCATCAGAAAGCTGAACAGTGACTAGGGATGATAGAAGGAGAATTGATGCCTTTGAGCTATGGTGCTGGAGAAGAGTGAGTATTGGATATACCATTGACTGCTAGGAGAACAAACAGGTTCCTCCTCGAGAGGATGAAACAGGCTGCTTCTTGGAGGCAAGGATTCTGAAGCTTCATCTGACGTACTTTGGACATGTTGCAAGAAGGGGCCGTCCTTGGAGAGGGTGTCACAGGATAGAGCAGGTTCAGATCCATTGACTGTGAGTCATAATGCATGTGATAGTACCTAGCAACAACAGCATATTGATACTAAATATTAGTATATCATCAAGGGTCCATGCCATTGCCTTGAAACTAGACCTTACCATCTTTGACTGCCATTCACAATGTACTGAGCAACAATACCAACCCACCCTCACCCCAAATTGCAGTTTGTGGCCTTCCTCTGGCCCAGCCAGCCTTTTTCTATACTATACTCTAGAACACCATTCTGTACTGATAGCATATAGAGGACACTCACTGATGTTGATTGAATAGATGAAAATTCTTCTGACTCACTTCTATGACAAATTTCTCTTGGCATAACTGAAATCTGGCTTTCTCTAATAATCTCAGATGAATGAATGCTGACTGTTGGTACTCCAGGTTAAAATTCCCTAGTCCTCCACCAAGAAGTTCTGACAGCGTACTTCACTGGGAATTTAAGCTACAGACCAAAGGCTGTACTTATCTGGTGGTTCAGATTCACCACTACTCTGAGAGAAATGGGCAGTCTCTTGAGCCATTTATGGCTTCAGAAACCCATTGGAAGGTCAGTTATGAGTAATTTCTGACTCCTTGACAGTGGGCTACCTTTTACTTCATTCTCCTAAGAACTTATTACCAGTTCCTAACTATACTTTTCCTGCTGTCCCAGAAGACAACAGAAATTTTGCCTTAGGATTGCCTCTCTCATGTCTCGGTTTATTGAGATAGTCTCGATTTATTCCATAAGAGTGTGTGTAAAGTGCTTTCTACATCACAGACATTCTTTTAGCTAGGATTCTACACAATGATGAAAATATTAATCTGATCAGCATTTTGTCACATTGACACCGTGTAATCAATGTCATTGGATTTTACATGTAGAAGATGGAATTTATGTTTTATTTTGGTTAATTGGTTGCGTTTTTCTCTTCTACTTTCCCTTTCTGCTATCCTCAGCGACTCAGAATAAACCAATAAATTATTTTTTTTAAACTGCCACTTTATTATATGAAAAATAGATTGGGGGAAGGAAAAACATGGAGGCAAGTGTAATCCAGGTGAAACGATGTTGGTTTGTACCATAGTGACTATAAAGATACTCAGATATTTGTAAATAAATTGCATGTTATGTAGTAGGTTTTTTAAGAATCATTCCATTTTTGTGGCCATTCTTCTGAAATCTTAAATTCAGTCCTAAACTCAATTTTTCTGTCAATATATCTTTGTCTGATTCTGTGGCTTTGGTAATCGGGATGGATGTGTCAGAGGCAATGAGATTGGCACAGGATAGAGCAGGGTTTGGGGCTGTTTTACATAGGGTCGCTATGAGTCGCAAGCGACTCAACGGCACATAACAACAACAGTACTAATTTATTTAGACTTGTTCTCCAGCCACCGTCTCTTTACTTACTGTCCATCAGTCACTACCCATGTACTATTCACCCTCTATAACCTCACCTGGCTTTACCAACTGTTAGTCATGATATGCTGGAGGATTTCCTTGGGTGAAGGATTTCTGTGCTAAAATTAAGATTGTTGGACACCTTACCCAGACTCTGGCTAGCTTCTGTTTCTTGGATATTGTGCTGCTGCAATGTTAACTTTGACCTAGTAACTTCTGGGACTTTATATGCACATAATTGTATCTCTCTGTGTCTAAGCCACCTCCTATTTCCTACTCCTTCCCCTTTTCTGTAATAACTCCTTCTGTCCTTTGGACTACAAGCAAAAAATTTTCCTAGCTGTATGTTTTAGTGATCATGGAACATTATGTCTTAACACTTGTAATTTGCTCCGTTGAGCCCTGGGGACATACTGCACAGTATGGCAGGCGGGGCTGCTAACTGTAAGGTCAATATTTGCACACTGCAAGAGAAAGATGGACATTCTCCTTATGTAAAGATTTACAGCCACAGAAACCTGGTGCGGGGTTACTGTGTGTCTGACCCTACCTGACAGCAGTAGATTTTCCCCAGTGACGCTTTCTCCTTTTCGTTTCAGATGGTCTGCCAATATTCTTTATTGCATGCTGCTTTATGGTCTTTCTCACTTTACAGCAGCAAGAATGACTACTTTTTTTACTACTGTGTCTCCAGTGGTTTGTAGGGGACATGAAACTCACATTGTAGTCGCTTAGATGGTTCAGCCTATGGTTACCTCTGGCATACAGTAAATATTTACTAAGCAAAAGCTCAGGTTTCTGCTGAGTAAAATGGTCATTGTCCTTAAATGTAATACTTGAATTTATGCTTACATGAGACTACATGCCCTGCTTTCTAACTATTTAAAGCAGCATGAAAAGCCTGTTTAAATACAACTTCTTTATTAAACATCTCAATTGTAAAGCAAATTGATGTAAAGAAACACACAATGTCTTTATTTTTTTAAAAAAAATTTAAGTGAGACAATTCTATTAAACTTTTCTAGCATTATAGTTAGAACACTGAAGCTCACAAAGTAGGTACTTGCTCCATTTTTTCATTGATCTTGCAAGGCTGCCAGTGATTATCTATTTAGCATTTAACTAAATGACAAATGATAGATCTGAAAACAGTAGACACTAAGAAAAATAAAGCTAGACGCACATTTTACCACCTTTCAAGTAAAACAACCAAAATCTGGACATATCTTTCCTGTTAGTAGAATCATAAATGCCTGCAGTGAGTTGTTAACTGTTGTTCGCCTTCGAGTCGAGCATGACTCATAGCAACCCTATGAACAAAAGGACTGAAGCCCCTCAAAAACTGTCAACATTTATCAAAGTTCATAGAGTTTCTGGAAGTAAGTTTAGGAAGCGGATGCCACTCCTGCTTCCAAACCCGTCACAGTATGTTATTGTTGTTATGTGCCATTGAGTCACCTGCGATGTATAGCGACCCTGTGTACAGCAGCTCTGAACCCTTCCCTGTGCTGGGCCAGTCTCACTAACTTCAGCACACCAACCCCCCCATTGCCCCAGTTACTGTATCAGTCCATTTCATCCAGGGTCTCACTCTCCTGTGCTGTCCATCCAACCTTCTGAGCATGTTCATCTCCAAGGACCGATCTCTTCTGGCCACATACTCAAAGTAAGTGAGACAGGGCTTCAAAATCCTAGCCTCCAAGGAGAGATTTGGCTTCACCTTCTCCAAGACAGACCTATTTGTTTTCTTGGCAGTCTATGGTATTTTCAAGACTCCTCCAACACCACACAACTCGAAGACATCTATTCTTCTTCTGTCATCCTTAGTCATCCAATTGTCTGAAGCATAACAAGTAATTGAGAAAACCATGGCCTGGATTAGGCGCACCTTACTATCTAGACTGACGTTGCTCGTCAACACTCTGGAAAGGTCCATGACAGCAGATTTTCCCATTGCAATTCGTCTTTTGATTTCCTGACTACTGGTATTAAGAACGTTGTGGGCAAGCTGTAATTGCTAACAGCCTCAATCTCTTCTCCATCTATTATGGTGCTACCATTTGTCTTCTTAGCCCAGTTGTCTTCTTGATGTTGAGCTTCAATCAATATTGAAGACTGTAGTCCTTGACCTTCTGTAGCAAGCGCTTCAGGTCTTCCATTTCAGCAAGCAAGGTAGTATCATCTGCATATTGTAGGTTGTTAATGAGTCTCTTTCCAATCTTGATGCCGCACTCCTCCTCATAAAGCCCTGCTTCCTGAGTGAACTGTTCTGCAAACAGATTGAAACAGTACATAGACAGGATGCATCCCCAGCGCACTCCTTCTTGAATTTGAGCTATGCAGTGTTTCCTTTGTTCTGAGGACTACTTCCTGGTCCAAGTATAGGTTTCTTACAGGCATGATCAAGTGTTCTGAGATGCCCATTTTCCTCAAGGTTAGCCACAGTTTATTGTGATCTACACAGTCAAATGCCTTTGCATAGTCTATGAAACACTGATAGACAGTCTTCTGGTATTGTCTGCTTTCTGCCAAGATCCATCTGACATTGGAAGTGATGTGTCTAGTGCCACAACCTCGTCCAAACCCAACCTGTATTTCTGGTAGTTCTCTGTCAATGTACTAGTCCAGTCTTTTCTAGATAATCTTCAGCAGGACTTTGATAGTCTGTGATATTGTATGATAATTTCCACACTCTGTCAGGTCACCTTTTTTTGGAATGGTAATAAAAATTAACTTATTCCAGACAGTTGGCCAAGTAGTCCTCCAGATTGGCAAAAAATAAAGCCCTAGAAATTGAAGAAATACCAATTGACATATTTCAGCAAACAGATGCTATCCTGCAATGAGCAAATTTTGAAATAATTTTTTCATCTTATACTGAGTCTACCCATTAAAATATATGAAGTAAGCTTATCTGTGTTATTTAATGCTAAATGTGTTGATCTACTTTTTTCTCTGTAGGCTAAGGAAATCCTGACAAAAGAATCCAACGTGCAAGAGGTTCGATGTCCAGTCACTGTCTGTGGAGATGTACATGGACAATTTCACGATCTCATGGAACTTTTTAGAATTGGTGGCAAATCACCAGATACAAATTACTTGTTTATGGGAGATTATGTTGACAGAGGATATTATTCCGTTGAAACAGTTACACTGCTTGTAGCTCTTAAGGTAATTTCCATTTTGTGCAGGTATTCTGAAATTGATAAGGTGGTTGTCAGTTCCCTTTTTCCAGTGATTTGTTCTTTTCTCCACCTGAATGTTACATTTTAAAACATATTTGTTGTTGTTGTGTATCATAGACTCAGATCCGACTGGCACAGGAGGGGATTGTCCTTCTTCCTCCAGTGGAGCAACTGGTGGATTTGAACCATGCAACTTTGGCACTTCTTCCCACTAGGCCACCAGAACTCTCTTAAAACATGTTTTACGTTCGAATCGACCAGATGGCTCTGCTAGAGAAGGAGGGACAATCTCCTCCTGTACCAGTCAGATCTGATTTGATGAGAGACACACACACACACACACACACACACACACACACAGTAATAAAAAATTTTTTTAAGACCCCATGTTTTAAAAAGATTATTATTTGAGTTTTGAGTTTATGAATCATAAATCTTTTTATTCTGAGTAAAGGATCATACAGAATAAAAACAAAAGTTATTCTGTATAGACAACAATGTCTTAAAATCTTTAAGTATTTTAAAGAAACAAACATTAAATGTTTTCAATACATAAACATTAAATGTATAAAAATATTTATACCACTGGAATAGTAATCGTATAGTTTAATACTTCTGTTGAGGAAGAAAATTGATCTAAAGTATCCAGTAGGGGAATATCTAAATTATAGTTTATCTCAGTAGAATATTTTAGCAGCTTTTAAACATGACATTAACACTTTAGAACAGTGGAAATGATCACTGAATAAAGCAAGTAAAAACAAAAAATAGTTAATACTAATTGTAGCTTTGTGAAATGTGCAGATTATCTTTACTTTGCCTTGCCAGCAGACCTCTTTTCAGTGAAGAGTATGCCAAATGGTATAGAGACTGTTTAGACTTGTATTAGAAAAGCACTAACGTGATTTTTGGCAAGAACTGGGTTTGGGATTAACTTGTGTGTTCATAAAACTCCTAATCTGAATTATGTAAAATGCTAGAAAATTTTTTGAAGGCTTTTCTTTGTGTTCTGCAGCTGTAAGATGAAAGAATTGAATTAGATGGTGGAAGATTTCTGCTGTTACTCAAAGGTCATTTTTTGAGTTATGAAGCCACCTTTGCACATTGACCAGAGCATAAAGTCCAGGACAAATCTCATTGCCCAGGAGAGGAACAAATATGCTACTTTAAAGCATTCATGTGCGAGAAAGGATTGTCCTTTCAATAAATGGTGCTGGACTGCTTTGATAACCAAATGCAAAAAATGTACTTGGAATTTAACCTCACACTGTACACATGTGGATCTAGATATAAATGCTAAAGAAAGCTATATAACTTAATAGAAAATCTTTATGATCTTGGGTTAAGTCTAGAGTTTTTACAATTTATAATGAAATCACAATTTATTAAAAAAACTTAAGAAGTAGGACTTAACAGAAAATTAAAAACTTTTTCTTGAGAAAATGAAAAGGAAATAGAATGGGAGAAAACATTTGTAAATTTACTTATCCAGTATATATTTAAACTCACGTTTGAAAGTGGACAAATTTACTATTCACTGAGAAAAGATATTTAAATGGTCAGATAAGCACATAAAAAGATGTTTATAACCATTAGTCATTAGGAACATTAAATCAATAATGAGATACTACTTGATATCATCTAAATCATTAAGATTTAAATCTTAACTCGTCAAAAAGCAGATCATACATTTTCCCCATGACCAGCAGTTACACCCTTGAAATCTATTCTGGAAAAACAGATATGTCTGTACAACTTGGAACTGGTAATAGCAGCATTATTCTTAATAGCCAAAATTTAGAAGTAATTTAAATCCTCATCAGCTGCTGGATGGAGAAATATAATGTGGTATAGCCATAAAACAAAATAATACATTACTAATCCATACTGCCACACCTAGGAACATCTGAAATATTATGCTAGGTTAAAGAAGCCAAAAAAAGAAAGAAAATATATATTTAATGGTTTCATTTGTGTGAAATTTGTAGAGATGAGGGCTTTAAGCACAGGTTAGCTTGCAAGGTTGCTTACATAGTTCACAAAATAATCTAAAATTCAGAAATAACTTGGTGGTTGCTGGGATAACTACAGAGATTCTAGAACACACATAATGATGATTGTGTAACTGAAGAATTACTGAAAGAATCACTGAAACTGAACTATGATAACCAAAAGTAGAATTCACATAGGGAGACTTGCATCCAGTGAGTATGTTTGGTGTAAAGCTGACGCCCAGGGAATTTACCTCTAGTAGAGAGGAAGTTGGCAGACACATAATTTCATTTGGTGTGATACGAGTTTATGGAGATGCTTTTCTCAGCACAATTGAAATTCTGTTAAACTTTGATCTTTAAAAGAGCCACCTGTTCTGTGTTTTCCATTTTGTTTTAGGTTCGCTACCGTGAACGCATCACCATTCTTAGAGGGAATCATGAGAGCAGACAGATCACACAAGTATATGGTTTCTATGATGAATGTTTAAGGAAATACGGAAATGCAAATGTTTGGAAATATTTTACAGATCTTTTTGACTATCTTCCTCTCACTGCCTTGGTGGATGGGCAGGTATGTGGTTCTTAGTAGTGCTGACAATTGTCAGGAAGTAACTTTCCAAATGTGTAGGTATCAGTGACTATTTTTTTTCCTACTCTTCCATCCTTTTTGGACCTTTTTCTAAAAAACCCAAACCTATTTTTGACAGTATTTATTTTTAGTATTTAAAAAAAATACCTTTTCTGTATCAGGTACTGAACTTTATAATTCAGATTGCAGGGATATAACTACACATGGATGTAACCCATCCATATTTTCAAGAGAAGGCATATACTTCTAACTTAGAGTGGGCTAAAAGTAAGAAAGGCAGACATGGTTCACTTGCTATTGTAAAGTGCAGTTGAGCCTACTCGATCTTAGAGCAACCCTGTGAATAGCAGAAACCTTGCCCAGGCCTGCACCATCCTCACAATCTCTACCCCGATTTTATTGCCAGTCTATCTCATTTTGAGAGTTTTCTTTCTTTTACTGACTGTCCCTTTTTACACACCTGATGTTTTCCAAGTTCTGGACTCTCCTGATAGCATATGAAATGAATTTTTCACCATCCTTGTCTTTAAAGAATACCCTGGCTGCACTTTTTCAAAGACGTTTGTTGTTTGGCAGTCCAAGATACGTTTCTCACTTCACCAAGACCACAATTGTCAGTACACTTTGTGTCCAGAATATATTTAAAACAAAAACAAACTTGAAACTTAATGTATCACTCCTTTGCTCTTCGTTATACATTGTCCAATTTTGCATGGATTTTGTCTGTGTACCTTAGTCTTTAAACTGACATCCTTCCTCTTTAGGATTTTAAATAAAAAGGTCCTTGATAACACTTTTGCCCAGTGCTGTACTTTTGATTTCGTAACTGCTGCTTCCATGGCTTATGATTGTGAAAAACTATTGCTTACAATTTAGTCTGTAAACTATTTAAAGCTTCTCTTGTGCTTCTCTTGTATGGGGTTAACATTTTAAATCACTCTTTCAGATCTTCTGTCTGCATGGTGGCCTCTCCCCATCCATAGATACACTGGATCACATTAGAGCCCTTGATCGCCTACAAGAGGTTCCCCACGAGGTATGGACTTTTCTTTACTAATAAAATATTTTTCAAAAACTAAGGCAGAGAAACTTAATTGTAACTTAGTTCATTATATGTGTTAGTTCTTAAATCATCCCATGAGGTGCGAGTACTCTTAAAACTCCATTCTTCATAACATCACAGGCCTATAGTTGTTGGTCTTGAGCGCCTCCACTTTAACCATTAGATTATACTGCCATATATTGAGATTTACATACTGTTCTTGGGTGCCATCAAGTTGACTCTAGCTAATAGAAGTCAGTGGAACAAAAATCACGCATCACCCTCACAGTGTCTGTTGTGCGTCAGCCTGTTGTTACAATCACTGTGTTGGTCCAACTCATTGAGGGACATCCCCTTTAAGCATGATATTTTTTAAGGGACTGTCACCACCTGATAACATCTCCAAAGTATGAACATATCATAGGGAGATTTAATTAATTAGAGCCTGTGCCTCATAAGAACATCTGAAAGTTGTGTCTTATTTGTGGTATAATAACTGACTTTAATGGCAAAATTCATTATTATTTTCTCAAAGACCACCCAAAAGGGTTTCACTTCTGACTATGGCATCTTGTTACTATTTTTGTTTGTTTGTTACTAATTTTTAAGAGGCGAATTACAGCTTGAACTTGCTTTTTAGGGTCCAATGTGTGACTTGCTGTGGTCAGATCCAGATGACCGAGGTGGTTGGGGTATATCTCCCCGAGGAGCTGGTTACACTTTTGGACAAGATATTTCTGAGACATTTAATCATGCCAATGGCCTCACTTTGGTGTCTAGAGCTCACCAGCTGGTAATGGAGGTATGTTCTCTTCTTTGAAATGTGGTTTGCCTTTTTTAGTAATTTTAATGAAGAAGATAGTAGGTACAGAGTTTTTGTTGGGCTTTTGGGTTTTTTTTAAATTATTAATGAAAGTTTTCAGACTGAAGACTTCCACTTAATTCATTGTTGCACTTTTCTCCTTGCCCACCTCGCACTCCCCCCCAATTTGTTCTTCTCTTTGAAAAGTAAAAGAAAAATTCTTTCATTGTTCTACAATCCTTCCCCCCCCAAGTCCAATCCACTATGCAGCCTTCATTCTAGACTCCTGTCATGACAGGAATACCTAATCACATTATCTCCTTTTTTTTTTTCTTCATATCTCTTTTAAACAGTTTTCTCCCTCATCTGTTTCAGTGCAGTATGCATTATTTATACCATCTTTCTCATTCTCTCCCTAACCCCGATGTCAGTCCTGTTTTACAGCAGTGGCACTATGCAGTATTTGTCCTTTTTTTTTTTTTTAAATTAATTTTGTGTGCTTGTACCGTCAAATCAGATCTGACTGGTACAGGAGGATATTGTGCCTCCTTCTCCGGCAGAGCATCTGGTGGATTCGAACCGTGTTCCTCTGAGATTGCAGTGCAGTTTCTTGCCACTAGGCCACCAGAGCTCCCCAGTACTTGTCCTTTTGTGACTGAGATATTTCACTCAGCATAATGTCCTCCAGGGTCACCCATTTTGAATAATATTGCATGAGTTCCTTGTTTTTCAATGCAGCGTAGTATTCCATTGTGTGAATATACCACAGCTTCTCTCTCCATTCATTTGCTGATGGGCACTTCGGTTGTTTCCAACTCCTTGCTATTGTGAACAAAACCGCGATAAACATGGGTGTGCATATATCTGCTTGGATGTTAGTTATGGTCTCTTTGGGGTATATTCCCAGCAGTGGAATTGCTGGGTCAAATGGTATCTCTATTTACAACTTTTTGAGAAAGCGCCACACCACCTTCTACAGTGATTGTACCATTTTACACTTCCACAAACAGTGAATAAGGGTTCCAGTTTCTCCACAACCTCACCAGCATTTGTTGCTTGCTGGTCTGTTAAATTTTGCTATTCTTTCTGGGGTGAGATCTCATAGTTGTTTGGTAGAGAGTTTTAAATGAATGATTTGAAGAGAACATTCATTATCTTCCTTCTGTTGAATTTGCCTTAATAACCTGAGCCAGCAAGTGCCAGTATTTCAATCTCAAGCTTTTGATCACAATGAAAAAATTACCAACTCATTGGTGTCAAGTCAGAAATGACTCATACTTGACCCTCCAGCAGGTTTTTAGAGGCTCTAAACACATGAAAGGAGATTGCTCACCTTTTTCCCTTGTTGCATGACTTACCTGCTTTTAAGTTGACAGTGCAGCTCCATACCACTAAAACCAGCAAAGCACCTCCCTCTAATTATGGTAAGAAAGTAAGTTGTGTAAGAGAGCATAACATTTTATGATCCTAATGATTTTGTTTTGTATATTCATGCATATGATGTGTATGCATAGAGGAGAGATTGGGAAGAAAAAAAAATGTTTACAATGGTCTTTAGCACCAGTGATTTTTAAGAATAAAAAAAGCAAAACTGAGTTGCCATCCATCTACCCAGTTCCAACTCATATCATAGTTACCAACAGTTTTCCAAGACTAAATCTTTAACTAGAACAGACTACCAGTCTGTTTACAGAGCTGATGGTGGATTTGATTTGCTTGAGAAGTGTTGCCTTTGCGCACACTATTGACAGTAAAATTATGTGATTTATCAGGAGCTCCAGTGGCCTAGTTGGTAAGGAGTTGCACTGCCAACCCAGAGATAGGCAGTTCAAATATACCAACTGCTCCTAGGGAGAATGACGGGCACTCTGTTTCTTTGCACTTTATAGCCTCTGAAAATTTGATTGAAGGTCAGCTACAACTCCCAAAGGTGGGAAAAGAAATTTGTGAACGAGTAGCTCATGAATTTAGATGGATTTAGGGGAAGTGAAGTTGGAGATCCTAGAGGCATCTTTACCTGGACAGGGACCAACTTAGGTGCTTTTGCCTGCCTGATACTAATATGGTTCTGATCTTTATGGGTATATCTTTACCTCTAAAAGGAATATCCATGTAAATATTTATCCGTGGATCACGTTTGGTATCTTGCAGTAAGAGACTAACAGACTGGTGTACTTAGAGAAGACCACACATGTAATAAACATTTATTTATTTATTTTTGGTGGCTCTTGGTTCTATTTTCTAAGGTTTTGTTTGGGAATTTTTTTTAAAATTTTTTTTCCCCTCAAATTAAAAAAATCCATACCACCTTTTGTATTTTTTTGGAAAAAATATTTATTGCTAAAATTGTACCAAGTATGGGATTATTAAGGCACTCAGAAGTAAAGTAGTAGCATTTTTTTGTGCCTATTGCAGGGAAGAGGAGAGCATCTTTTCTCTTGTACAGTCATTTTTAATTTTGTAAATTAAAACTCATCTTTCAATTCCTGTAGGGGTATAACTGGTGCCACGACCGGAACGTAGTGACAATTTTCAGTGCTCCAAACTATTGTTACCGTTGTGGTAACCAAGCTGCAATCATGGAACTTGATGATACTCTAAAATACTCTTTGTAAGTATTTATATCTGAGTAGTTGATGAATAATTTTTTAATATGGTGTTTTATTGAGATACTTAATTGCTAAAGAGTTCATGCTAAATCAGCTTCCAAATTGATTTCTAGTTGTTTTTTTGTTTTGTTTTGTTTTTAATTTTTAGTTTTATTTGAAATGGACCTGTGATTATTGAAAGACATTAATAGAAACTATTATCAACTCTAATATAAATTGTTACCATTTTAATTTTTATGACCCATGTTTCTTTTGTGGATTTAATAATCTTGAAAACTGGGTTACTGGTATTGCACATTGCTTTGTTTGGTTTGGTGGGTTTGTTTTGTTTTATTTTGTTTTTTTAAAAAACACGTTATTTAGTAGAACCCTTCTAAATAGTCCCAGAAGGATTCCCATTATATGAAAGTGCAGCCCCTCTGGCTGCAGTTAATTTGCTTTTCTGGAGGGGGAGTGAACCCAGCAGACTCTTGCCATGGAAGGCTACAACAGCAGCACACTGTTAAACTGAAGTAATTGGATAAGGGGAAAGTACAAAGTTTGGAAGACTAACAATATTAATTTTGATTGTTACTTGAACATTGATGTCTTGATACATAAATAACAAATGTTTTTGTTTTTCAGCTTGCAGTTTGACCCAGCACCTCGCAGAGGCGAGCCACATGTTACCCGTCGTACCCCAGACTACTTCCTGTAATGAAATTTTAAACTTGTACAGTATTGCCATGAACCATATATTGACCTATTGGAAGTGGGAAGAGCAACAGTAACTTCAAAGTGTCAGAGAATAGTTAACATTCAAAAAAACTTGTTTTCACACGGACCAAAAGATGTGCCATATAAAATACAAAGCCTCTTGTCATCAACAGCCGTGACCACTTTAGAATGAACCAGTTCATTGCATGCTGAAGCGACATTGTTGGTCAAGAAACCAGTTTCTGGCATAGCGCTATTTGTAGTTACTTTGCTTTCTCTGAGAGACTGCAGATACTAAGATGTAAACATTAACACCTCATGAATACAATTTAACTTCCATTTAGCTATAGCTTTACTCAGCATGACTGTAGATAAGGATAGCAGCAAACAATCATTGGAGCTTAATGAACATTTTTAAAAATAAGTACCAAGGCCTCCCCTCTACTTGTGAGTTTTGAAATCGTTTTGTTTCTTTTCAGGGATACCGTTTTAATTTAATTGTATAATTTGTCTGCACTCAGTTTCTTTCCCTTCTCAATCTCAACCCCATGTTGTTCTTTGTTATTGTCAGAACCTGGTGAGTTCTTCTGAACAGAACTGTTCTCCCTTCTTTCCCCCTAAAAGACAATGTTACTGCACAAGAGCACTGCAGTGTTTTTCATAATAAACTTGTGAACTAAGAACCAGAAAGGTCAAATTTTAATTGTATCGATGGACAAGACTGGTGCTGTTTAGTAAAAAGATAAATCAGTTAATTGATTTAATTTCAGAGTTGTAGAATTCTAGTCGAAAATAAAAATCAAGGCCACCATGTAATTTCTCTGGTAACTGTTTACCAATTCCTCAGACTAATGCAGGACTGTCCTCCAGATTTGTACTTGTCAGATTAGCCATTATGCTCTTGGTGGGTTCTTCCTCAGTCTGAAATTGTCTGCAAGAAAGGAAATCTGTGTTCTACTTCAGTAGGCCCTGATTGTAAAACCATAAAATGGAGATTTAAAAACGGGGAGTGAGTTTTGTTTTAATTTTTAAAAAAAGAAAAGAAAAACCCCAAAAAATCACACCAGCATGTGTTGGGTATAATTTAACAAGAAATGATAGTGTGTTTACTTATCAATATAGTTGCTACTTATAAATATTGATGTGTATGTTATGTGGGTTCTTTAAAGTGTGTGATGAATTGGTAAGTTCTTAAATATATTTGTACATTGCTTCAGATACGAACTTTAGAGTTAAATTTGCCCCAGAAAAGAAAGCTAGCCTGTATTAAACACTTTTAAGTGATAACAATGGAACCAAATAGAAAACTATTGCTGAAGCATGGTTTGGTTTTATGTATGTTCAAAGAGAAAAAGTAGCACCTGAAATGAAGTAACTGTGCTGAGCATTTAATGATGTTTTTTGTGGATTTGTTTTCTTTTTCTCTCCCTTGCTCTTGAGAAGCTATAATAATAGTTCTGTAACAAGTACATTTGCCATTTAATAGCTTAAGCTACTAGGGCAATCTTTGGGACACTTAATCACTACTTGAGTGAGCCTAGTAATAAAAAACTGCTTGACTTGTACTGTATTGAATTTGGAACTGACAAAAAGTATTAGCATTTCCTATTTCAAATTGACAGCATTGAGGGGAGGAGGGAGATACTCCAAAGCAGTACACTATGCTTGGCCCCTGTCTCCATTTCATTCTCTCTCTTCCTCCTCCTTGGGCATTGCATGTCAGGTCCATTGTCCCTTGACTGAACAAAATAGATTATGTACGTGTGTTAGTTTTAGCATAAGGCCCAAGTGATCTAGATAGCAAACAGCTATTCTGTAATTGACATGTGATGATATCATCCAGGTACATAGTCTATACAGTTACCAAATAGAGCTTGTGACCAGAGTAATACTGTTTTAGAATGATTTAAGGTTTGAACTAATTGTGGAGGATTAATAAGCTTTGGTCTTCTGTTTCCAGAAAACTTTAGTATATTACCTGTTTAGAAAAAAAGTTTTCGTTGAGTCACTAAATTACCTTAATGTTGCTATGTGCTATCAAGTTGGAACCAACTCATAATTGACCAGCAGATTTTCAGAGGCTATAAATCTGACAAAAGGAGGTTGTCCATCTTTCTTCTGGCAGATCAGCCTTGGTTTGGCAGTGCAACTCTTTACCAACTGGGCCACCAGAGCTCCCTCAAGGGAGCTGTTCATCCAACTCACAGCTGACCATCCAGTGGGTTTTCAGGAAATGTAAATTGTATAGGAGATTGCCAATCTTTCTCTTGTGGAGCAACTTGTTGTATTCAAACCTTGTGCCTTTGGGTTGGCAGCGTAGTTCCTTGCCACTACACACCTCCAGAGCAATAGCTTATTTCAGAAATAAAAATTACAGTTCATATAAACTTTAAAAGCCAGCTGAGGATTTTTTTTTATTTTTATTTCTTGTGATCTGTGTCCATTTACAAGACAAATTGGTTCTACATTCAACCATTCATACACCTTTTGTTTTATAACATGAATTACAATACCCACCATGCAATCACATTCTTCACTTCCTGTCTGTGAATCTCATTTCCATATCCTTCTATCCATCTCCTTTCATTAAATACAATTTTATTTTGGGTTAATTTTTTATTTACAGAGAAAGTTGTAAAAATGAGTGCAGTTTCAGCAAACTCCCCACTCATCCTGCCCCAGTGTGAAATTCTTAACATAACTGTGGTTCATCTGTCAAAACCAAGACTCTTATTGTATTATTACTGTTGGTGGTCAGCAAGGTGGCTCCTGCTTGTGGCGTCCTCTGTCACAGAATGAAGCACTGCTGGTTCTTGCACCCTGGCCAATATTAGTCCAATCCTGGTAACTAAAATCCAGACTGTATTTGGCTCTTTAATTTTTCTACTCGTGTCCTTCTTGTTCTAAGACCCAGTCCACATTGCATTTAGGACTGCATCTCTTTTTTGCTTCTTTTGATCACTTCATGATTCTTTCCTGGGACAGAGAATGGTATTCTGAAAATGCCATTGTCTTCCTCACGGTGCTGAGCAAGGAAGCTTAATTGTTGAGAACAAAAGTGATTGAATGCATTTAGCTGGGCAGTGAGAACACAGCCATCCTGCCTCACTCTGCTCTTCTCCCCCCAACACGCACCTGGATTCCTGGTCTTCAGAAGCTGACACACCTGTCACACCATGACAGATGGACAATCAAGTGCTTTGACTGGAGTGCACACAGCCTTTGGGGACTGCACTGTGCCTCTTCTCCCACGTTTTGACCAGGATGCTGTCTTCAGTGTGTGGCTTCTCCAGATGGAGGCCAGATAAGTGTTCTGGGTTCTCACGGGCTGTGACAGGTGCCATAGAGGGTGCTAAGTCTGGCGTGGAAGCGCCCATGTACACCCTCAGTTCTGACAGTGTGGACTGGAAGCTTGGCAGGGATGGTCTTATAACTGGCTGTAGTCTGCATAGTGGTGACAGCTCATGAAGGAGTAGAAGTAGTCACCAGCTTGAGCCCCTTGGATCCAGAGAACATTGATAGGCACACTGTCAGGGTTCTCGCAGATGGTGTCCACAGGGCTCTGCACTTTTACTGGGTCCAGCATTGATGACAGCCACCAGATGAGCCCTTTGAGTGGGACTTTGTGCACTGCAGTAATGCAGCCCAAGTGGATGCTGCCAACCTGAGCACCACCACTGGCCCTAGGTGCACGAGCATCCCCCAGACCCCACACCAGCCCTGCCTAGTGCTCCTCCGGCACACAGCTCTATTACCTTGTTTCCGCTGCCCGTTCTGAGGATTTTTTTTTTCGTTCTGAGGATTTTTGTCACAGTTACTTTGTGCCTTTATAACATACACAAGTGAAGGGCTTTAACAATTACTACTTACGACACTAGAAGCTCAAATTCAGGTGGCCAGGTCTAGGAAGTTTTCTGTTGATTTTGGGAGGAAGGTCCTTGCTTCCTTGATATGTAATTCCTTGGAGATTTCCATAGGGATTAGTCTTTTTTTTTTTTTTTTTTTTTTAGGGATTAGTCTTTGTTTTGAGAAACTTCCCACCACTGGAAGGACCCATCACAGGATCTGAAAGGACATGCTTCACTCCTGCTTTTTATCTTGATGTGAAAGTACCTTAAGCTCTGGTCTTTTTCTCCTGATGCAGACCATACTTGAGGGAAACTCCACTTACATGAGATGAGGGCTCAAATGAGATTTAAGGGTGTCGCGTTCCAACTTTAGACTTGGTACAACAGTATACATCAGATCATAGGGTTATATTAACTCTACATAAACCAATTTTTGAAAGTTCTTTCCCAAAAACTTTAATGAGGACTCGAGGTTTGCTATCATTTAAATGGAAATGTTAGATGTTAGTATTTAGTTACTTTTACAGAAAAGTGTTAACACTTGTTTGAAAGGGGAAAAAATTGTTAGAATTCTCAGCCTTCATTCCCCTATTGTTCTTAGGTGCCATCCAGCCAACTTTTAACTCACAGCAACCCTATTCAGTGCTGTCATCAACATCATCATGCTCAAGTCCATTATCGGAGTCATTGTGTCTATCTTGAAGGTTTCCCCTTCTACATTTCCCAGCATTGTATCTTTTTTTCAAGGACTGCCTCCTGACATCATGCCCAAAAATATGAGACAAAGTTTCACCATCCTTATCTCCAGGGAACACTCGGGTTGCACTTTCTCCAAGACATACTTGTTTTGTCAGTCAGTGGGTTAGTATTCTCCAACATGTCAATTTAAAGCATCAGTTCATCTTAAGCTTTCCTTACTACCTTGTCCAATTTTTATAGGAAGCAATTAAAAATAACCATGGCTTGCATCAGGTGCACCTTAATCTTAGAACTGATATCTTTGCTGCTTTTGGCATTTTGGAGAGGTCTTTGGAGCCAAGTAAAATTAAGTCAATCTTCATTTGTCATGTGGTTGCATATTGGTCTCATGAAGATTTTTGTTTTCTTAATGTTAGTATGTAACCCATAGAGAAAGCTGTAGTCTTTGATCTAAGTGCTTCCAGTCTTCACTTTTTTGGAAGCAAGATATATTTGCATGGCAGATTATTGATGAGTATTCTTTTGATCTTATTGCTATGGTCATCATATAGACCAGCTGCTTGAATTACACCCTCAGCACTGCAGATTGAATAGGTATGGAGAAAGGACTTATTCCTGATTCATACCTTTCCTGATTTTAAACTTATGTATTACCTTATTCAAGATACTAAAGAGTTGAACAGAAGATTTCAGAAGGCAGCACGGGATGACAAAGCAAAATATTACAATGAAATGTGCAAGGAGTTGGAAAATCAAAAGGGCCGAACTCGCTCAGCATATCTTAAGCTCAAGGAACTGAAGAACAAATTCAAACCTTGAGTTGCTATAATCAAAGATGCTTTCAGCAGAATGTTAAATGATCCAGGAAGTATTAGAAGATGGAAAGAATATACTAAGACACTGTATCGACAGGAATTGGACGACAAGAATTTCATGAAACAACATATGAGCAAGAGCCTATTGGTGATGTAAGAAGAAGTTCAGGCTGCTTTGAAGGAAATGGCAAAAAATAAGGCTCCAGGAATAGATGGTATACCAATTGACATATTTCAGTTAACAGATGCTGCCCTGGACGTGCTCACCAAGTTGTGCCAAGAAATCTGGAGAACAACCACTTGGCCAACTGACTGGAAGAG